GTTAATGACGGCTCAAAGGATCTTTTTGTGTCTCAAATACTCTCTCGCTGTAACTCTCCCCTGGTTTTTCTTTTTGCTAAGCGAATGAGTTAAAACAGGCACTGACTTGGCAGCGGCTGAGTCTGAGACCACATCCAGAAAGACCCGCTTCAGCTCTTGCCTGAACAGGAAATGGCTTTTTAAATGTACATTTTCCCAGCATTCAATGTGAGTCACTTTTACCAGTATTGGGAACATGTCAGTGGGCGTACTCCTTTCAACATAAAAACATACAAATGGGAATACCTCTGATGTTGTCTGGGGCCGACGGTAAGTAGAGTCAGAGCACCGTGAGTGGCTAATCCCTCAAAAACAGTGAGCAACATGAATAAATCTGCATACGGTGCTGCTTTAATGGGAAACAGTTTCAGATCTACTGTTAATGAGCTCTCCGTGGCTCAGGCTGAGAAAGAAAGCTACTGGCCAACATCCTGACGTGGAGCCTGGAGCTCAGTCCTTACATTTGGATTCAGAGTCATGTGTGCTTTGTGCTGCTGCCAGACAGACGCTGCTCCTGGCGCTCTGGCCATGAGGTATCTTTAGTGTGTGAGTGAGTCAAAGACAAGAAAAAGACAGAAACAGATATTCTGAGAGAGATGGAGGCACAGACAGACTCCTGGAGAGGAGTTAGCGACACATGAGCAACCTGGCAACAAAAGAAAGGAGGCTGAGGAGCTCAATGGAAATCAGTGACTGGTTCCACATCCTTTACATTTGCCAGTTACCCCATAAATAAGACAATTATACGTATAGATGAGTGAACTGTGGAATTACCATCTCATCAGACACACTAGGCCTACAAATCTAAAATAAAGCTGAATACTTACCGTAAGCATCTACCTGCACTCTGACACTTGTGTGTCTGGACTTTCTGGGCCTTGCTCTGCTCTACAAGCGATGCACTATGTCAGCGGTCCCCAACCCCCGGGCCTCGGTCCGTGAGTCGTTTGGTACCGGGCCGCGAGAGTTGAGGCTCAGGT